GTGGGGCGGGGGGGGGGGTTGCTCTCGGATCCCGCAGCCCGACGGATAACACACGTGGCCACTTGTTGTCACCCAAACGAGGGAGGGGGCGGGGGGTGGTAATATGAAAATGATGCTCTTCGAAATCGCCACGAAAAATGCGAGGTTGCTTTCAGAGCACATTGGTTACTTTTGAGGTTGAAGATTGGAAGCTGGTTAGCATTATTGACTTTTTAAAATATATTTATTGCAGCGCCCCCCCCCAACACACCTCCCAAACTTGTTTTAATGAAAATGTTTATGCGCGTTTTTTTAAAAAAAAAATCGTCTGGGTTTCGAAAAATAACCGATATACTGTACTGTACAAAGTTTTTTTCAGTGGGCGTCAGTTGTACAAAAATGTACAACGCAACCCCAGAAAGTTTGGTCAAACTGACCCCTTTTTTGCCCACATTGGGTTGTTTCTCACTCAACTGTGTGTTAGACTGCAATATGAAATACAAGTCGCGTCTGATTTGAAAACGTTGACAAAAGTTGCTGAATCAAGCAAGCAAATCACTAAAGTCTCTCCATTAAGGCCAGAAAAAAAGTTGATTTTTACATTTTGGAAAAAGAGTCATCGAGTTGGCACCGCTTTTGCCCCACAGCAGAAACCGCCACTATTTATTTTTTGTTTTAATCGCTAGAATTGAAATACTAAATTATCAATTAACTTAAAAAAAAAAAAAATTCTGGTTGTTGTTCAAAGTTTGATTTCAAGTGTGTTTTAGTCGTCGAATCAATACTTTTATTTTGAAATCAGTGAATCATTGCATTGATGAATCGTGATTTCACGATCGGTCAAAACGATCGTTAGTATTATTTTTTTCCCGCAATCGCTCAGACCGAGTTTAACCCTTTGAAGGACAGCGGTTACTACAGTGGACAAGCTTATCGTGTTATCAGGTTACAGGGTGCATGAACGGGTTAAATGACTCTGATGCGTACAATTTATACAAAAAGTTACTCAAGTAAAGGTATTGGAGTAAATGTAGGGTATCACTACCTGCACCTGGTGGGGATTTGTTGCTTCGTTAACATGGAAGCTAACGCCGAGCACTCCTTGATTTAAGCAATGTTGTTTTATCTAATGGCCGCGTATGCTAATAAAGGCTTCCCTCGCTAATTCCGGGGATTTGTTTCAACCACCTGTCCAAACGGTGGAAGTGGTCGGCACTCTCCTCCCATCGGTCCCAGCGGGCTCCGCACTTTCTCCCGCTGTTGATGCCCGCGTCGTGTGCATTTTCTTTCGGCATGATGATGCAAGCTTCAGAAACCGATCCTTCAAGTCAATCTTTCGCTGTCATTTCACCAGGCTCACACACACAAAAAAAAAAAAAACAAGACAAATCTCTGCTTCATTTTCGACACGGCGTTTTAAATGCAGATGTATTGCATGGATCGCTTTTACCTTGGCGGTCTTACGAGGGGCTGTGAAAAAAAAAATATGAGGCAACCCTCAAACAAATATGTATCGTGGGATTTTACATGCAACTTTGGGTTTCAGTGTTACCTCGCTCTATCATCATTCACCGTCCTCGGCTTCCATTCAGTCATTTTTTTTTTTTTTAAATATGAACCGTGTCCACTTGTCTATTGTGGAAGTGTGTTGTTTTTACACTGCAGTTGGCCTATCTCGGCGGACTTTCCAAATACTTGCGACGTCATGACGCTGGTCTTGTGTGTCTCCAGCAGGTGGCAGTGGAGGGCTTCTCTTTCAGCCCTGCACACCTGCTGCCAATTTGATCGTCATGATTAAACCACGACTGCCGAGATCTCATGTCGCTTGTCGGATTATTGACCTTGTTGCTGCTCTTGCTCAAGTGTTGTTTTTCCAGACCTCTCGATCTCATCATTGTCGCTTTTGCCGCTAGTTCCTCAGTCGTAAGTATTGTGATTATTTTGTCTTTGCTCTTGTTTTGTTGTCGTGTAATTGGACTCTTGTCATTTGGTGTATATTCTCTGCGTTTCTATTATCTTGCCTTTTTGTTTTTTGCCTTTTTTTTCTCCTGGCTCCTTGTGACCAGCGATTTCGGTCTAAACTTTGTCGATGCGCTTTTGCTTGTAAATCCAAAATTTTCTTTCGTATTTTTGTTTGAGTCTCCGTTTGCGAGATGCAATCACCATTCTGTTCGTCCGCGAACTGTGTCGCAATCCAAGGTAGCGATACCAAATGAAGAATTTGGAAAAAAAATGGTTTGACCCTTCCATCACCAAACTGAATGTAATTTCTCCCTTTTTTGTGTAAAAATATTGAACGCAAACAAATTGCAAGCATAAAATGTATGTATGTCCGTGTAAATGCATGTTTCTTTAAAAGGTGGTGCTTGCTGGGTTGAAGTGTGATGTCACTGACCTGAGTGGTCCATAACTGCCGCTAGCAGTCTATGGCCACAGGACTCCATTCTAAGTCCTCTATTATTGCGGTCATTATGCATTTCTATGGCCCTATTGAGCTGATCTGGAGCCTAATCTGACATGGTCCCCCCTGGACTGGTCGCCAGGGCACATCCAGACAAAAAAAAAAAATATCTCCGTACAATTTAACGTCTTCAATAATCCTCGCATGCATGTTTTTGGAATGCGGGAGGGATTCGAACCCAAGACCTCAAATATGAGGCAAACAAACCACGAGCTCATCATGCTGCCTAAAATGAGATTTATTTTCTCACAACTATAAAAAACAGTTTTGGTTGGAATACTTGAGCGAGATATGATGCGACTTGCTTTGACTATGCAAGAGTTACGCAACCTATTTGACTGGCAGGTATTGAGATTGCTAATCATTTATTCAGGGTCTGAGGCAACAAAAACAACAACAAAAACCAGAAACAGTGGCATTTTGTCTTTTGGCGTCAAGCACCTCTCTGTCAACATGTCTCATCTGGCGTTTTACTTAAAAAAAAAGTGAAATGGGAGCGCCACGCCTCGCCTGAGGCGTCATGGTCGTTTCATCGATTTCATGCCGGTAATTTATAACCATGACCTTGTCCTGCTCGCTCTTTCAACGTCTGGCTCGTAAATAGGCCAGGAATCACATACTTCTACCTACAATTTACCACAAGACTCCGACAACTTCGCCTCGTGGGTCTTGGGTGCAATGGACAGAGAAAGAAAAATGGCAATCCAAACGTCGTTCGTCTTCAATTGGAACAACAGCAAGTGCCTTTTTTTTTTTTTTTTCTCCTCCGTGGTTCATTCGTAGTTGTGAGGGTTCTGCTTGAATAGATGCAGCTTCGTGATTTAGTGACTTCTTTTAAAAGACTTGAGGGTTTAAAAAAAAAAAAAAAACACTGTTGTGGCTTTCCCGTGATTTATCGCCTTGTTCAGTTTAGCGTCTGTTTAGTAGATGCCGTGTTTTACGGGCTGGACTTGAGACAGCCTTTTTTTTTTTAAGCCTCACAATTTAGTTAACTGCAGTTCTTGAGCCAAAGCGCTTATTTTACGTCTGAAAAATCTCCCGGCACGGCGCAAAACAAAAATGATGGTTAAAAAGGTTCGGCCTCGTCTGTCAGTTGAGATGCATCACTTCAAAATGCTTCCTTTGATACTGACGGCTGGTGTCAGAACTTGGACGTCAAAAACCGGAATGGGTGACTTTTTCGATCGATAACTGAGGAGACGTTCTACAGAAGAAAAAAAATGGAAATAACACTCAATATCTGTTGCAGGTTGAAACAAGCAGGCGGGGGCTGACAATCAGACTGGCACAACAGGAAAAGTAAGTGACCTGAAGTAAGAGGAGATTTATTCTTTCAAAATAAAACAGGAAGTGACCAGACAAACAACCCACAAAGCAACTCAATTTCTTGGTACAACACAACCCACTCTTTTGAATTTTGTACAAGAGAGAACCATTTTTTGGAAATGTTATGTTGATGATTCATTTTTACTTTTTGGGTTAAATGAAGAACCCAAATAGTTGGGTCAGTCCCTGTTTGACCCATATTGAGATATTTTGGACTAAACGATTTTTTCAAGTGGAGGTGAATTTGTCAATAGTGAACTGTACACAGGTACGTTGTGGTCATTTACAACCATCAAGTTTCCTGGTGTGTGTGTGTTTTTCCTCCGATACTACGTATGCACACACACGCGCACAACGTTAGCTTGATGCTATCTGTATTCACACATCCCCTGTCGGCTAACGATGTCCGTTCGCACCGCCCGCTCCCATATACCGCCGCGATCGAGGCGCCGCGGGTTCAACCAGGAAAGAGGCGCCGAGCTCAGCACATTTCCGGAGAACGCCACGAGAAGCATGATCAGTTACTCCTCGAAGGTGCATTAACAAATTGCAAGGGAGCAAATGTATTTCCGGATTGACTCGCTGTGACAGTGACCTCACACGAGCTCCATTGTCACGGCGACGGCCCCAACCCGCTTTCCGTTGTTTGAACGAGACGAGATGAAGGCTCCTATGAATAAACCAACACCGCAGTGATGATTGATATTCCCTAAATGCACCACCGTAAAAAAAAAATATATATATAATATATAATATATATACCGTATATATGATTGATGGTAGAAATGAGGGGCTTGGAAGTATGACATCAAAAGCAGGCGGCATCCCTTTGATTGACATGGCCTTGGCCTGCATTGATCTTGGGAAAGGATTTTAAATCAATAAAAATGGACCAAGGCAGCACAGTTGTTGACTGGTTAGCACGTTCACCTCACAATGCAGAGGTGCAGGGTTCGATTCCGGCGCCGGCCTTCCTGTGTGGAGTTTTCATGTTCTCCCCGTGCCGCGTGGGTTTTCTCCGGGTATTCTGGTTTCCTCACACATTCCGAAAACATGCGTGGCAGGTTGACTGGGCATTCTAAATTGTCCCGAGGTGTGATTGGGAGCGCGAATGGTTGTCTCTGTGTGCCCTGCAATTGGCTGGCAACCGGTTCAGGGTGTCCCCCGCCTACTGCCCGAAGAGCTGGGATAAGCTCCAGCACACCCCGTGACCCTTGTGAGGAAAAAGCGGATCGGACAATGGATCAATCAGTCACTTAAAGGGTTACAGTGTCGCCACGTAGACGCTATTTAACGGCCGAATCAAACTTGCGGATGGAAGTAAACAAATTGGCTTCATTAAGGGCGGCAAGTATGCTCATGGTTCATTTTGGTTGTTTTGCGTTCAACTAATGGATTGAAATTAATCGTTTTACTTTATTTTTTAATCTTGTGTAGCCAGTTAAAAGACGGCCCGCTTCAGTGCCTCGATACAGATGGCACTCGACTCACCTGTCCATGACCTCTAAAAAATTCATAGCATGTTGAATACTGTTAAAACAGTTTTATCCCAATGGATTTAACATAATAAATCAGTTCTGACCCGACATGTCAACCAGACAAAATCCATTCAATAATAATGACAATGTATAATTGGAACAATTGAAATAACTAGTTAGCACGTTAACTGAAAAAAAAAAACCCTCTCATTTGATCATTATAATTTAATTATTCCTCAAACGGCAATTAATTTTCTTCTTTTATTAATTTTAATTGAAAACCTTGATGAACTGGCGATAGCGTATATTTAACTGGGAATTGCGGCAATTGCAATCGGCGCGCCTCCCGGTGATCCCCCGCCTCATCTCGGAGGTGAATAGCCTCGAGGTGCCGTCCTGAAAAATTGCCGGAATTAATGAAGCGCTCAAGGACAAACGGCGAGAAAGTTGAGCTGGAAGAGCCGCTCCGTCGAATGCGCACGGGGGGGTGCGCGGATCCAGCTTACTTGAATACTGCTTGGCTTAGCATAAGAACTTGACTTGCAATCTACTCTTTACATAAATTTGCACTTCACCCAAGAAAAAAAAAAAAAAATGATAATATTGATACCCCTTCGCGTACAAAAGCAGGCAGTGTTGGATATAACACACTCCCAGTTAAAAACGTGGTCAAACTTGGAGGTACAGCTATATTTATTTCACCTAATTCGCTACCCACCAGGCGTACCCCCTTCAGGAGTGAAGCACCGCAGATCATCGGGAGCTCCTGGGTGGAGGGGGGGTCGGGGGGGGGACTCGTAGGGCTCTTCAAATTGTGTAATTTGCCGCAATCAGAGAGCCGCATGAAGCCTTTGGTCAGCTCTGAATCATCGCGACTTGAAATTACTGCCTGCCTGCCTGCCTGCCAGACGTGGCACAATGGGGGTGCGCCTTTCTATTTTCGTGCCTCATTCCGTCCTATTGCCGGGATTATTTGCAGAGTTGTGGCGCATCTAATTGAAGAATAGGCTTGTGTGACCTGGTTGTGATGCTTTTCGAAAAAAAAATAATAATTTTGGGGTCCTCCCCTTTTATTGTGAGCCTTAAAGCTGCAATCACACAACCCGGTCAAAATCCAGACTGAGAGGTTGCACCGTCTTGATACTTGGAAAAAAAAAATCACCAAAAGATTAGAACAATGTCTTTTGTATATTTTAAGCTTATCAAGTATCTTCAAAGCACATACAAAAAAAAAATCTGAACCGATTGAAGCTTTAGTTGCTCTTGGTATAAATCATAGGTGTCCAAATCAGGTCCTCGCCCCCTTTTGAGATCTTTACACTCCATTTGGTTTTGTTTTTAATCACTTTTTTTGTTAATACCAATATATAACAGAAAAGAAAATGAGGCTATGTATTTATTCAGGATTGACAAGCTGCCGGGTGCTTGTCGGATTATTGACCTTGTTGCTGTTCTTGCTCAAGTGTTGTTTTGTCAGTATGGTCGTTGTTTAGTTATTTTGACCTGAATTTTTGTTTGTCTTGTGAACTGGACTTGTCATTTTGTTTGTTTTCTCTGTTTTCCATTTCCTTGCCTTTTGCGAGCGTCTTCCTCATTTTTTCTCTGGGTCCTTTTGACCGGCGTTTTCTGTTTTGGACTTTGTCGGTTTTGTGTTTTTTTGATACAAAAATTTTGTTGTCGCATTTTGTCTGTGTCTGCATTTCTGGGACGCCGAAATATTATTCGGTTCATTTCGAGCTGGCAAAATGATTCCTAATGGCAATCATAAACATTTTTTTT